CTCTCCAAACATTAGTATATATGTGCTTTGATGTGCTGTAGCTGAAGGCAGACACTACAAGGATGAATCGAAGTGTTGCACAAGATGCTTAAGTTGCCCAGAGGAGGGCAGCAGAACTGTACATTTGATACTTGGTTTCCTGCTTGAATGTAAATACTTGTTTAACATGCATGACTTGTTGCAACGGTTAAAATGGCCTCTCTGGGATTAAAGGCTGCAGAGACTCTGGCAGCTGGAGTCTGATTGAAACTGACCAAAATATTTTGTCACTGTTACTCGAGAAGAATGGAAACTTTTATGGTTTAAGTCTATTTTGTTAATTACCTCCACCAAGAAGGTTCTCTGTCTGCAGCCGCTTGTTTGCAGGATTACATCAAAAATACTCAACAGGTTTCCATGAAATTCTGTGAAGGGGCAACATGACCAAGGGAAGAGCCCATTACATTTTAGTGTGAATCTGGATCAAGGGGCAGATCCAGTAATTTATTTCTACGTCTTTAGCATTGTGAGATTTGAGGGCATTTTGTTGATTTCACGGAATGAGTGAATCTCGATGAAAACATTCAGACATGTTTAAGGGGTTGGTATCAATGAGGTTGTGCAGTTAAGGACGTAAATAAAAATCTGGATTTAGTGAATTTAAATGTGCTGTTAAAGGGGCTGTAGTTCTTCAGCTGCCTCATGGTAACAAATACTCTTGGTATCTGCTCACATTGTGTTCTTTTTTAACCCTCTAACCCAGGATGACAGTCCACAGAGAAAAGGGGTTTCTGTATAATAACACCAAAACATGGTGCATGTTTTTTTCCCCCCTCTATGTCCTGTGATCCTGGGTTAGAGAGGCTCAAAAATAAAACAATACATGCAAAGGTAAAACCAAAATAACAAAATAGACGCAAACCATAACCATCCGTACCAGTTATAACGTGACCTAAGCTGACACATCAACGTATCATGTTTTTAAAGACTGTTCGATTTGTGATTTTTTTGTGTACAGACTGCAAAAATACACGTTTACATAAATTCTGTAAAACTGTAAAATGTACTTAACACTTTTTTAAAATGCCACGTGAGTATATTACCAAAGAGAAAAATACTTTTTTGAACCTTTAACTCTAAAACTGCATACGAACAATTGTGTTAATTAATTTGTTTATCTAACAGTTCCGAAACAGCAGTATACAGGAAGTATATGAACATAGAAAAAAATAATGTTTACTCTGGGTTACCTAAGTAAAGTG